AAGTGTTTGGAGGAAGTAAAAGCTGCAAAGAACATGAAAAAGAAACAAGCTGTTCATTACAGGCATATAAAGCGTTACGACATTTTGACTATAAGCGGCGAAGAAAAACTAATTGCGCCTATGAAGGAGGATGGAGAAATAAGGTATTACATTTGTTACGAGGACTTATTCAACATTCTCGAAGAAACGCGTGTTGCTGTTTGCCACAGTGGAAGGACACGGATGCTTAAGGAATGTAACCGCAAGTATAAAAATGTAACAGTTGAGGCTACTATGACATATTTGAAGCTATGTCAACCTTGCCAAAAGAAACAGAAGACTTTGAAAAAGGGCATTGTCGTCAGACCTATACTTCATAGTGAAATGAGCTCACGCTGTCAGGTTGATCTAATAGATCTACAAACTGACCCAGATGGAAATTATAAATTCATCTTACCATATTTATGATCCTTCGTGCGCTTCAAACTAAACGCGCCGTAGAAGTTGCATACCATCTTTTGAATATTTTCACCAATTTTGGAGCGCCGAGCATCCTTCATTCCGATAATGGCCGAGACTCTGAGCATAAACTCTCAATAACCAAGTTATTGAGAGTTTATGCTCTATGTGGCCAATGTAAAAATCATACATGGAAAGGCAACACATAGCCAAAGTCAAGAATCAGTGGAGCGTGCTAATCAAGACATAGAAAATATGTTGAGCACGTGGATGGAAACCAATCAGTTATTAAAGTCAGAGGTTTAAGATTCATCCAGGCGATGAAAAATAGAGCATATCACGAGGGAATCAAATGTTCTCCCTACGAAGCAATGTTTGGTTGTCCAATAAAAATGGGCCTTGCAACTTCAGCAATCCCTGGTGATATGATTAGAGTTATAAGATCTGAAGAAGATTTAGAAAAGTTGTTGCATTCGCATGACAATATGGAACAAAATAATGACATCGAAAATGCAATCGAACAGGACAAGGAAGAAAGCATTGTTGAAAATGAGTCAGAAGGGGATATAGACAATAGCACTGTCAACGATAAAAGACAAGAAGATGAAATGATTATTACTGAGATGATGAAGGCGAAGCAAATAACCGATGATTCCAATGTAACGATTCAGAGAGATACCGATTCAGAGACAGAAAACACGATTAAGTCTCAGGAAGTTCTTGTAACTATAGAGCCAATACCAAAAAAGATAGAATCTGTAGTGACTATAAGAAACAATGCAAAATTGAGTTTGGAGAAACAAGCTGAAAAAATGAAAGCCACGTCTGTTGATAAATATCCAAATATGAAAATTGGCCAAAATGTAAGACTGAAAGTGCCTGAAATTGACAAAACTAAAACC